GTGTGGTGCTTAGTGCTGGCTGGGGCTAAACCACGAGAGAAAGGAAGCAAGAGAAACAGGGATCAGGTAGCACAGTGAGAGGCTGAAAGGAGACAAGGAATTACAGATAGGGTGTGCAAGGGGAATGATTACTGTTTATTACATTACTGCATAGATGTTACAACAAGATTTCACTACTAAAGACAAAGGGACTATGACTCTCATCCCAGAGCTTGCATTCTAGCAGATCTGAATGAGCCACGTGTGGATGTTTTACAGGGTTACATTCTGCATGTTTGTATAGCGACTGACCTCAGCAACATACAGGGACATGAGAGCTGCATGAGCCAGTTAAGATAATCACAGCATTGTGTTTCAGTTATAGAGCACCTAGACTTAGAGTTACTAAGCAGTGGTGATAGATTAATGTAGGTGATGTGGTGATGGATTTACTGATTTTAGCTAGAAACCTCAACAAAATTCAAGCACACTCACTTTTACGGACACATCTTGGAGGAGGTAACCAGTCATCCTTTGTGCATGTGACTTCCCCACCTTCATGTTCAGGATAATAGTCACGGTTGCAGACATATTGACTTCTTTCACCTTCCTTGTAAACCGTCTTCTGTCTGCCTGAGAAATATCCATTTTGCAGCTCTCTGACTTTACAATTTTCTAAAGAAGGAAGGTAAGTACATTTAACCACAGCAATTTGTACAGCAAGAACTTGGGTAAATCAATTCTTAGGAGGACAGTTACTAAAAAAGGGCCTCCTAGCACCTTTCTGTATCCTTCTACACCAAAAAGACATTTGTGTTCAAAGCTGAATGAAAGCATGTTTTGTTTCACTGCCCTAAGATTAATGAATCACATGAACAGGAATGCAAGTCACTACATAAAGTGCTAAGAAGTGATCTAGTAAACAATATCACTTAGCTAGTGTTCATAAGCAAGGCTGGCTAACTTCAGTGCATCTGGTGTCATGTACACCAGCTCTGGTTTGGTCTGCTATGTCTCTAAAATGTTGATGTTTGCCCTGAGTGATTTTCAGCATTTGCCTCCAGGAGATTTTATCATCTCTGTGCAAATGTATCAGCCTCCCAAACCACCTCTAGAGGTTTTAGCAACAGCTAAGCATGCTGGCTTACAGCATCCTGTGCCCCCAAGAGCCCAGACACAAGGAAGATGGTTGAAGGAATGCTATATCTGTCTTACTTGAGTACCTGGTCCTTTCCTCCAAGCAGGACTCCACTCATTTTCTGCACTGAGCACCACTCCACTGAGGACAACAGGGAAAGATTAACCTTTTGTAATTCAATTCCAAGCCCTATCTGTAGGTAGGAACTTTACTATGACTGAAGATGTGTGTTAGCAGAGGAGGCCTCAGCTCACTGCTTTAAATCGATTTTCTATAGTTCAATCATTACATCAGTGTATCTGGATCTCTTGCTGATGCCACACTCACTTTCAGCTTATTGCAAGAATGTGCCACCTTCTCAGCTCCAAACGTTATCCAAAGGGACCAGGCAATGGATCTCAGAGAGGAACCTCTAGACAAAGTGCCCAAGCCTCGGAAGGAAGAATATATTTACATAGAGTAGAAACTCTCTGTTTGTATGTGCAGCTGTGTGTGCAGATGAAAGTAGATGCATGCATGTGACCCAGAAGCCAGAAAAGAGAAATATTTCCTATGTATTTCTTAATCTCATGGGTAGTTTCAGGAGTAAAGAATCTCCAAAAGCAGCATTTCAGCCTTATTCACTTCAGAGCATCACTTACCAACTGACAGTTTGAGCTCTGAAGATAGGATGACAATCTGGGTGCAGTTCCAGGGGTCAACTAAAGCAGTTCTACTTTAACAAACTGTTCTTTGTTCCATCTTGTGCTCCACTGGCATAAGTTCTGCTGCACAAACCTTTGATAATTGTAACAGGATTGAGCATATAGTGGAAATGTACTTACTGAGGCATTTTGGCTCTGGAGTCCAGTCCCTTCCAGAACATGTTACTGAAGCATGGTTTGCTCCACTTGGGGTTGAATAACCTGTATTGCATTGGTAATATACATAAGTCCCAGCCTTCACATGAGGGACATACTTTTTGTAGTACTCCATAAACTCGCCGTTTTCTATAGGTGCGTAGTCACATGGTTTCTCTTGAAATAGAATTTAACAGCAACAGTATCAACACACGCATGACAAAAAGCTCAGGACACAACTAATTCAGATTCAGCTTCATCATCTGACTGTTTTCTGAAACTGACAGAATCAGGACTGCACACCTTGGTCGTGCAGGAACAATCGCACTCTGTTTCTGGTGTCTTTGTCACTACCTATAGCTATATTGGTTCCCTCCGTTTCCATTGGAACCAACAGAAGTTTAGTCAATATTCTCAGTGGACTCCAAAGGCTGATTCATGAGACCAAATGTAAGTATTTATTCTCTGCTGAGATGACACTGTTTTTGTAGAGTGTCTCAACTAAATTTACTATACTGACTATGATGGGAGCCCAGACAGCTAGCTCAGATATAGACACTGAACTGTGGACTCAAAACTGAGATGAATCCTGTCACCATTTTCATCTGTAACTTTTTCAATTCTGCACCAAAAGCTCTTCCTAGCTCTTCTCATTTTTATTTTAAAAATGTAGTGGTTTTCTTTTGTTCTCTCAGTTCCTCAAAAGACCTGACCCTTTTCAGGGACAAGTCAAGGATAGAAGGAGGAGATTCCCAGAAGCTTTCGTTCAAGTTTACCCAGGGTGTCCTACTTGGCCATGGCAGGTAGGTTCCTCCTGAAGTACTCTGACCCAGAGCCTACCTGCTGGGGCAGGGGAGATCACCCACTGGACAGACCATTCAATAATGACTGAGGTGGTCTCAGAATGATACCTGAATTTTAGAACCCACACATACATAGAGAAAAGATTGATCCAGATACTAACAGTGCACTTTTTGGGAATAGTTCAAATCATTCAAAGGTTCATATACAAGACCGATTTCATCACAGTTTCTCTCACATCCTGTTTTCTAAGTTTTTCTTTTATTTGCAGTGACCAAAGATTGAAGAGTGCTGGATTGTGAAATTAATTGCTAATTTATTTATTTATTTGTTAATGCTGTGCCTACTGGGCAAAACTATCATTGTAGTTATGGGAAGTTTAAGTCAAGAAAGAACTGATAAACAATCAAGAATATCTTGTTTTGTTATTTGACAGGTTATAATAGGTAGAATAAAACTGTGATTGTTCATAATATACCAATGTACAACTGCAAGTAAAAATCTAAAGCTGTGAAAACTAGGATGAAAGATACCTTCCAACCATTACCTATGTTTTGATTTGGTTTGGATACTTTAACATTCACTATTTCCTCTTATCTTGACTGGCATGCTACTCCTCAAGTGGACCACAAACCTTCCTGACAGGGAGCTGACTATAGCACTTTTCAACACATACTTTCACAAATACAGTAATAGGTAATACCTGTGTTTATAAACACATGTAAATGTAGATTATACCATTGTTTTTATAGATTATTTTTCTAAACCATCAAATTAAGCTTTACATCACAGAGAAACACAACGAATAAGCAACTCCTATTTCTCATGCTTAAGTTTTTCTCTTGACCTCTTTTCACTGAGGTATTTCCAACAACTCTACATATTGTGTCTTCATTCATGAGAGCTACTTACTGATACAACCTGGATCAGGGACCCAGCCATTCCTGGTGCATTCAGCTGTGCTTTTGCCAGTCAATACCATAAATTGATATCCAGGATTACACTGCATTGTGATTACATCACCTCCTATGTAGTTGTCTTTTTTAGGTCTAAAGTCCCCATTGGGAATTCTTGGAGGAGAACATACAATTTCTAAATAAAAAGAGAAAAATTTGATGCTGATTTGAAGAATATGTTTATATTTATTGCATAAGTTCTTATTTTCATGGTATATTGAACATAACTGCATAAAATTGTTAAAAAGGTGTTTCTTAGGGTGAAGAAAAGGTTACATTTTTCTCCCATTCTTAGAAATGTATGGTTCAGTAAGAGAAGAGTGACAGCTGTTACTGATGTCATGCTAATTAGAAGATTAAAACTGAATTGCAAAGAGAATGGTTAGAGCAAGAACTAGAGGTGATCAAACTGAATTTGACTAATCTTTTCCAGGTCATTCAACAGCTGGAGCTCAAAATGACCTATGCTAGGCTCACTCACAGCTCTCCTGGTCTGGTTTATGGACACTGTCCCAAAGGAGGGCAGGTTCACTGGCACGTCCTAAATGGAGAAATAACTATGCTTAACTAGGAACTGATCATTCAAAGGCTGTGTGATTAAGATTAGGGTCTTGCACTGACACTGGAAGTATTTCACCAACAGAGAAAGGACAAGAATGCTATTCTAAAAAGCTCATGATATCCTTATGCTCAGAGAAGCCAGGCAAACATATTATTTATAAACCAAAGCTTGACTTTTGGGTTTTTTTTGTATTCTACTTCCAATTTAGAAAATATCACCAACACACTCAAGGCTGGGAGGGGTTGACTATAAGGTAACTAACTACAGGTTGGTCCTGCTGTGGAGTGAAGGTGGGTGAATCAGCTGTATGCATGTACTGCTGAATCATCTAGGCTCAGTGGCAAGTCAAGTAGGATCCAGAACCACTATCTGAATATGCCCCAAGTGTCAGAACCCAGTATATCAGAGTCGGGAAGAATGTTTTTTTTGGCACGTGTTTGTTGCTAAACTGTTGGCAATGCATATTAATTAGTATCATTACTAGTCTTGAAGCAGAAAGGTCAAGAACTAAGTGGGCATGAAGACTGACTACTCTTTATTTCTAAAGGAGTCTTTCTGAAAGAGGTCCCAGGAAGGTGGGTGGTACATACCATCCTACAATATTGCCAACATTTTTTTCCAGTTTCAAGTGTTTGGCAATTTCCTGAAGACAATTTAAGGCACTAATGACTTCCCCAAAATTTACATCAAACTATTTCAAATGGGACAGGACATGCATATTTCTGTTTGTGGGATTTAGAGATTTAATTATAGTCTTTAAGTGCTGTAGTTAAACGAAACTAAAGTAAAATCCATGACCCAGAGGGCTGATGTCAAACAGGACTAGCCTCAGAAATCATGGATTTGTCATCTTAACCGCTCAGAAAGCATTTGGGAGTTAGAAAGCAAGAGAGAGTTTCAGCATTGTAAATATATTATTTTGTAGAGATTCTCAGACAGTTTCTGATGGGAAGTTTGAACACCATGAATAATGTGGTTGTGCAATTACAGTTCTGATGACATTAAACAAATTGCTGTATTCATCCTAGACTAAGGGTCATGGACAGTGGCAGGATTCATGCATACCATGTTACTTTGGTCTCTTTATACATCACTTCATGTCCATGGTTCTTAGGGTTAGTGAACTTCAAATCTATGTTGTACACAATTCTTAACATAATGGCTGTGTAGAAAGCACTATTTTTTTCAGCTTTATGTATAATCCAGCACTACAATTCCACTGTAATTTTAAGCATAGACACTTATGGCCATCAATGGACTACTTATCTTTCTGAAATTAGACTACTTCACATTTGCTTGAACTCCTTTGGAAATGGCCATGTCAACTTCAGATTGTTCTTTCTACAACACTATCTTACTATTTCAGAACAACTCTTGAAAGGCAGCTTACAAACTTAAGTCAGGATTTTAATTTAAAAGATACTTTGAAACATACTTTTCTAATTTTCAGTCATTTCTGAAAGGTTGCACAGTACACTGACAATTTCTTACTGAAGTTCCATCAATGAAATAGGGATCATTTTTGAATTGTTTCTCTTTGTTTGGAACTGGTTGATCAGAACTACTAGTCTAGACATTTCAAGGATGGATATAATGACTAGCAACCAGGTGCTCAGTCTGCTCAAACTACAGTAAGACTCATCAGGACACTCAGACAAAATGCAGAGGTCAGTTCAGTGGGTCAAGCAAACTTCTATTGTCTCAAAACACAGGGTGAGATGCTGAGTGGTATTTTACTGAGTCATTTAGTCCTATGACTACAAGTAGCAGAGTATTGGTTATGGTGACACAGCATCTCAACCACTGAACACGGAAGACCTGAAGATGCATTAACTTGTATCTCCCCCTCAAAGAACTGCTTGTGAATCATAAGTAGGTCATCAAACTAGGACTATTAGCTTTCTCCAATTTTATTCATACTGCTCCAATTCATATGGTATCAAACAGATATTTCTTTACCCAGTCTTCTGACATACAGCACAGCCACTGACTTGTACGTTATGTTCATATTAAACACACTTAAAAAGGTATCGAGACTTGATGTGAAGACAATAGGGCTTCAAAAACCATACCACTTCTCTAAGAAGTTGGTTTCAAATGTTAATTTTCCCATGGCATTAAAAATTTCAGATTCCTTCTGTAGTTTGAATTTCCAGGTATTAATACATTTTCTCCTGCTTGCTTAAATATTATTTTTAGTATCTGATTTTTTGATTCCTTAGATAAAACATTTTCATCGTATTTTGTAGAAGGTAAAGAGATTCAGCTTTATCCTTCCTACTTGTCCAAATTGGGATTTTTTTTCTAACCCAAGAAATCTTTTTCCTATGTTCTTCCCACTAATTCAGAATCATACAAAAAGACAATAAAATAACAACAGCTACTAATGCTCCATGAAGTATTTTAGCATCAATCTTATTTATGCAGTATACTGGAGCAATTGTTGCTTCATGGACCTATTTAACCACACTCAAATAACAAAAGACTGAACTGTTTTTGCTACTGCTCTCCATGGAAAACTCTTAGCCAGTTGTTCGGTCCCTTTAACACTTAATCCTTCCAGATCTTCATAGGATATTTGTCAGACGTGGATGGATTTCTTTTGTTATGAATAAACTAACTTTTGTCATTACTATCTCTGAAATTACTTCCAAACACAACACACGTGCAAAATAACTTTAGACAAGGCTAACCAATGCAATAGGGGGTTGGATTCCATCCTGATTCAGTACATCGGACATCTGCTCTTTCACCGTAGCTGTATCCTTCATCACAGACAAACTGTACTTGTTCAGATTCCTTGTAAGACGCTTTTGGAGAATGTACTTGTCCATGCAGAATTTTTGGCACATCACAGATAATCTCTGAAATTGTGAAAGACAAAATCCTTATATTTTTGTTTATTTTTATCTGTTGACAATAAATGCTTATTGGAATAAAATTTAGGGTTTTTTTTTTTTTCATTTGACTTCACAAAAACATTTGCATTTGGAAACTGTCTGGAACTTGAGAGCTCTTCAGCGATCTGATTGTGGGTGCCAGGTAGAAAGTGTGCTGTAGTACAGCATCAATAGCAATTTGGTTCATGAGACAGATTTCAGGGCTTTGCTTTGGATTTTAATGGATCTCAGAATTAGTATATAAGGCAGCAGACATTCTAAAATAAGCAACTAGGCTAGCTGAAATTTAGGATTTTCCATTTTTCAGATAATTTCATTTCCTTGTAATTTCCAGTAAATCTAAAGCTCTTTCATAGCCAGTAGATGATTAATTAAATCATTCCATCAACAGGAAAAAAGAATTAAAGTATCTGGAAAACTGACACTAGAATGCTTCACTATCTATAACAGAACCACAGCAACCCCAGCTCCTTGCCAAACCCAGTAAAACCACCGAGATCTTTCAGTTTCCAAAAACTGCATTCATAAAGCCAGAAAATATTCAAGGCTTTGTTTCCTAGGCCACAGAGCAGGACACCAAAGAGTTCTCTTGGATTCCTTTGCTGGATTTACTTTGTATTTAGGATGAAATACAGCTCAGTGAAACTGTCATTGTTTAATAAAATTCACTATATTCTGCAAATGTTACAAGCGCATGTGTTTAATCCCAATTTATGATGTTCAAATTATAATAAATGGGGGGTTCAAAGCAGCAAAATGCATTGCTGAAATTGTGAAAAAAACATACATGTATCTAACATCCTGACATATGTACTCTGCTCTTCTAAACACATACTACCTGATCAGATAACATAAACAAACTGAGAAACTTGATGGACTGAATATTTAACAGTGAGTGCTACCATAATCTTCCTGGGATTCATTCTTACGTACTGACAATCCAATCCCATACAATCTCTATTTGCAAAATGGGAGGAATAACCCCATCCACCAGTACCAGCTGTGGGCAGGGCAAGGTGGGGTCGACTGGCTGAAAAGTAGTTTTGCAGAAAAAAACTTGGCAGTCCTCATGGACAAGTTGAACAGGGGCCAGCAATGTGCCTTTGCAGCAAACAAAGACAAACAGCATCCTGGGCTCCATTGGGAAGAGTGTTGCTGGCAGGTCAAAAGCAGTGATCCTTCCTCTCTACTCAGCACTGGTCAGACCACATCTGCAGTGCTGTGTCCAGGTCTGAGCTCCCCACTACAGGAAAGACATGGACATACTGGAGCAGATCCAGTGAAGGGACACAGAGATAATTAAGTAATTGGAAAACCTGACAGATAAAGAGAAGCTTAGAGAGTCTAGAGAAAAGGTTTTGGGGGGAGGGAGGATCTTATTAATGTGTATATGTATAAATTCCTGACTGTGGTTAGGCAGCAGAAGTAAAGATGATGGAGCCAGACCCTCCTCACTGGCACCCAGTGACAAGATGAGAAGCAATAGGCACAAATTGAAATACAGGAAATACCACTTAAACATAAGAAAAAAACATTTTTACTTAGGAGTGGTCACACACTGGAATAGGTTACCCAGAGAGGCTGTGGTGTCTCCATCCTTGGAGATGTTAAAAAGCTGACTGGACATGGTCTTGAGCAACTTGCCTAGCTGACTGCTTTGAGGGACCTTCAGAGGTCCCTTCCAAGCTCCCGTATTCTGTGATTCTGTGGTTCTGTAAAAACTAAACATGAATTAACCTTAGAATCATAGAATCATAGTATTGTTTAGATTGGAAAAGACCTTTAAGATCATCCAGTCCAACCATTAACCTACACTACCAAGTCCACACTAAACCAATCAAGGGTAAAATAGACTAAACCATGTCCCCAAGTGCCACTTCTACCCATTTTTTGAACGCTTCCAGGGACGGTGACTCCACCACCTGTCTGGGCAGACTGTTCCAATGCTTGGCTACCCTTTCCGTGAAGAAATTTTT